CCATTAGTGTATACAATTGTTCACTAAGATAACATGTAACGTTATCATCAAAATCTTAAGGCCAGATGTAAAAACACTTCGTGTTCTTACAACTAAGGAATTGAGTGTCTGTTGTTCAGCATTCACCTTGAATGTCTTATTTATTCCTATTTCATACTGCATAATCAGCTTTTGACTACAATCATATAACTTTAAGAGATTTTCCTTCATGGTTACTGAAAAATCTTTTTCAAGCAACTCAATTACACTCATCAGATTTTTATTCATGCTAGGAACATATTATACATCTTTAATCATAACAGTTTTCCTATTTTTCAATTTCACTCTGACATTTCCCATTCCTTTAGCATTCAATACTCATCATCAACATATCAGATCTTGGTCTTTCTATTAGAGTCAGAATCGACCATCCATTATTTGTTTCTTGTTAGGTGATTTGAGCAACCCGTGTTCATATACTACTTTTCTACAATTTTTTACCCTCATTCTCAGATGCCATCAATAGCACAAGTTCATCCTCTAAATCTCCTTTGGCTATATGGGCTTCTTCACACTTATTTTCTTTGTTTGACCAGCAATCACAGGCAAAATGACCAAATCTGTTACAGTTGTAGCACTAAACATTTCTCTTATCAAACTTCTCATTTCCCTTATGAACATTCTTATGTTTCTTCTCTTATGAAGAAGAAGAAGGTTCTGACTTATGAACATTCTTTTTCTTGTACTCTAGCCATGCTTTCTTCTTGTTCTTCTTAATAAAAGAAGCCTCTAAAGCCTACTCTGACTCCCTTTTAGAGTTCCTTTCAGTCTGACTACCTTTTCAATGATTACTTGTTTAGAGAGAGTTTTTTCCACAATACTTCATATCATTCGTGACCATAATCACTCTGGAGATGTAATCAATCACCTTCTCATTGTCTTACATGATGAGATTCCCATATTGGTTTCATAGAGACTGGAGCTTCACCTTCTTCACTGATGTGTCACTATCATAGCACCACACTAGAGTATCCAACGATGTCTTCGCCTTCGTCGATAATCTTCTCAAACACCTTTGTATCCACACACTAATGGATATATAGAAATTCCTTCTAATCCTTCTTCCTCGTATCACGTTGCGTGTTTCTTTGCGCTTATGCATCTTCTACAATCGGCGTGTAACCTTCATTGACGAGATCAAGAATATATTGAGCTATAAATAACACATGCATTTGAATCAACCATTGATTCTAGCTATTTCTGTCTATTAATTGAAGCTTTGTGTTCAAGCTACTATTTTTTCCTTCATCTTTGTTCTTGTGAAAATAACTCAATCCTCACAAACACCCATGTTTCCCAAACCTTGAGAATCAATATTGTGATTCTTCTCCGATTTCGATCTTCAATTCAGTGTGAATTTGAGGAAAGAAATTAATCACACATCTCACAACACCCGTGTTTCCCTGTGAACAGAACCAGAGCTCTAAATACCAATTTATTGGAGTTAACACACAAACTATGAGATTAAGAATATATTGAGCTCTAAATAACACATGCATCTGAATCGACCATTGATTCTAGCTCTTTCTATCTATTACTTGAAGTTTTGTGTTCAAGCTACCATTTTTTTGTTCATCTTTGTTCTTGTGCAAATCACTCAATCCTCATAGACATTCATGTTTCCCAAATCCTGAGAATTAATATTCTGATTCTTCTCTGATTTCGATCTTCAACTTAGTATGAATTTGAGGAACGAAATTAATCACACATCTCACAATACTCGTGTTTCCCTATGAACAGAACCAGAGCTCTAGATACCAATTTGTTGGAGTTAACACGCAAACTCTATGGATGCACAAGAAGCTTCGAGAGAGAGAGAGAGAGAGAGAGAGAGAGAGAGAGAGAGAGAGAGAGAGAGAGAGAGAGAGAGAGAGAGAGAGAGAGAGAGAGAGAGAGAGATTTTTGTAACTAACTTTCAAACTTTATTTATCAAATCAAAACCATGTTACAAATGCAACTAGCTACGAGTTTATATATTAACACCCCAAATTTAAATATAACTCAAATGCATCTTGAATTAAAACTGAATTAAAATGCAAGACTTGAGTTTGAATTACATTTTAACATTTACAAGATGGACAACGAGAAGTGGGAGAAACTATATTTAAGAACTTCGAGTATAATTTGTATGTTTTTGTCTAAGAATATTCTTGCGAATGTTCTTGGTACGTTGTCATCCAAAGAGCGTTGAGCGAAATTTGAAGGGTTATATCAAAGAAAATGGTATATCAAATATGTTATTGTTGAAGGAGAAATTTCATAGCTTGTGTATGAATTAATATACAAAATTATCTGATAATCTAAGTGTTCTCAATGGTATTGTTTATAAATTATAAACTATTGGAGTCAAGATTGATGATGTAGATAAAGATTTGAGACTCATTTGGTCTCTTCCATCTTCAATGAGCATATTAAATATGTTTTAATATATGGGAAGAAAACTTTGAGTTTTGAAGCAGTTGCTAGAAAAATTATTTCTGAAGAAAAAAAGTTAAAGGATGAGGATAATACTTCAACAAACTCAATGTTAGTTGTTAGAGGAATGCCTTATGTAAAGAAAAATAATAAAACAGGTGTGATATGTTGGAAATGTAAAAAAATTAGACAATGTCAGAGAAAGGCTCAATGTCAAATGTTATCGATGTCTTCTTCGTCGTGGGAGATGATAATCTTCTATAAAAAATTATTGAAAATATTTTAAGCTTATATTTGACTTTTATATTTTCTCTTATACTCTTGTATTATAATATTGTAATGGATAGTTTTTTTTTTTTGTTGAAATTATAAGTGTATTAAATATTGTGGTAGTTGAAAGTAGTCTATATAATATAATAATTTTTACATAATATTATTTTCTGATTTTACAACGGTCATAGTTCTTTTTCTGATTTTGAAATTTTTATGTTAAATTTATGTGTTAGTTATTGTATTTCTATTTTTTTATGCATTTGTTTTTTTAATATTTTTACTGTCAAAACCATTCAAAATGGACTGCAAATACCAAGTAGATTTTGTTTTTCAAGAAAGATAACTAGTGACTCAATCAAATTCAAAGTAATACACATGTTGACACATTTTAATTGATTAAACACGTTTTTGAAGATGGCCAGTTTTTAATTAATCGTTTATATTATTATAGTTTTTTTATAAAGTATTGAAAAATCACTATTAAACTTTTTGTTAAAAGTAAAAGGATCTGGACGAGTCCTAATCAAAGTCCACCTAAAGACATGGGTGATCCAGTCAAAGTGTTAAAGCCACACGCTCTATTATTCTAAGTCACACCTCAACTCAATCCACTCATTTTCTATTAAAATATGAGATGCTATTGCTATTCTTTCAACTTTTCTTGCATTAATTTCATTATGAGTGCAACTGGACCAATCGCAACACAAAAAATTAACTATACAATTCCCATTTTATCCTCGACAATGATACCGTCAATCATTTTATCTTGTTGGATCGTTTGACACGTGTCAGAATCTTATCTAAAGAACGATGATGTCACTGAGCAGCCGCCATTGTTTGTGGATAAAGTGACGGGGGACGGTTATAGATTTTAATGTAAACGACAAAAGTGGAAGTTTTCGTCCAGTAATAGTGTAATACAATGCCAGTGCCTTCATGCTCGGATCCGAATTGTTTGTGGTTGGTGCCAAAAGTTACATCAATCACATGCAAAAGTTTTGAAGAATTCATCTCATAGTATAACAACATTTAAGCTTACTATGTCTCTTTGAATCAGTTTCTATATATGCATAGCATGGCAGTCCTTGTATCAAGAGAACAGAAAATATTTGCAACCAACATAATTAATTTTGTGCAACTAACATAACTAACTTAACAAAGAACCATAATGATAAGTAAGAAACCTAAAGGCTAGTAAGATATCTAAAATCCTCTATCAAGCTGGAGAGTAGTTATCAGATATTTCCTACTTAAATAAAAGGTTACAAAATAGTTAAGGATTGAGTGGTTTAGTCAAGATGTCTGCAGATTATGCTATCAGCTATGAATTAGAAGAAGTTGGAACAAATTGGAATTGAATTTATCTCTAACAACATAATATTGAATTTCAATATGTTTGGTTCTATTATAATAGACATTATTAGCAATATAGATTGTTTGTCACAATATAAGATAATAAGTGAAACATATGATATATTGATTTAGGAAGACCAACTACGTGTATTGAAAAAGAAAATATTTTTGATTTTAGATTTAAAGTTTATTAGAGTTTTTTTTATGCATTTAAAGATCTTTGGGAAGGGGTGTTTGTAATGTGGTTTATATGCTAAAAGCTATTTGATCTATAAGAGAAAAAAATATACGGTTTAGTTTTGTTCGATAAATTTTAGAAATCAAATCAAACAAATGCACTTTAGATTAATTTGAATATTTATAAATAAATAATATTTTATTGTTTTGTTAATATCTAAGTTAATACGGTTTGGTTTGGTTTGATTTGTTTTATAAAATACATATCGCAAACTGAACCTCGCTGTTTAGTTAAAAAATCACTCAAACACATCCAAACCAAATGCGAGTTTTTGTGATTTTTGGTTTGTTTTGATTCGGTTTGCGGTTGACCATTGTGCCAGTTCGATTTTGAACACTCTTATCTTTAGTGTGGTCGTCAAGCTTATCTTTGATCATAATAAAATTCAAGTATTCTTTCTTTTGGTCGACTACAAAACTTTATCTGACTTGTTTTCATTCTAGGCTTAACGCTTTCTAATCCGTAGTGTTTCTGACTGCGTCAGGTGACATCAAAGTATGTTTTCTCCTATTTTTTCGAAGCATGATCAGTCATTGGAGATCAACTATTGACCGGAGCAAACCTTGAGGGAATTACCATGGCTTTTACCATAACCCTAAATTCTTTGATTGAACAGATGTCAACTTTAACAACTCAGGTGAACAACGACGGAAACAATAGGAACCTGTGAAGAGACGGGATAATGGAACCAATTGGGGTTCTGCGGGGTGGAAACAATTGTGTTATTTTTGTTGAAAATTCAAGTTTTGAAGAAGAAGAAGAAGAAGAAGAAGAACCTGACGAGGATGAGATAAATGATCATGGGAATCAACATAACCATGATTATCGAGTGAAGGTTGATATTCCATTATTCTATAAAACTATTGGAGTGGAGGAGTTTCTGGATTGGAAGATCGGCGTTGACAGATTCTTTGACGTCATTGGGCATCCCTGAGAACAACAAAGTTAAGATAGTGGTGATCAGGCTCAGAGTATTGTTATTGTCTGGTGGGATAAGCTTGTAGTTCTGAAGCAGAGGAAAACAAAAAGGTTGGTCATATATTGGTGAAGAATGAAACAATTGATGCTAGAGCGGTTTTTACCGGAGGATTATAAGAAGATTCTTTATAAGATGTATATTGAACGTGTTCAGGGAAAGATTAATGTAACACAATACATATATGAGGATGGGTTTGCAAACTATATGGACCGTGGCTGAGGCGTCCAGTTTAGATTTAAAGGCATAATTTATGGATAAATCCCCTCTAAATTTCTCATCTTTTAGGTACTCTCCCCATAATAACTTTGAATCAGTAGGAAAAAAGAAAAGAGTGCAACAACCAGGGATTCCAACCTTAAGAATAAGGGGACTAGAAACCCTAGCAGTGTGTAATAAAGTAAAGAACCATTCCAGAGGAAGAATAGTCCATATGCTAAACCCAATTGTGACACATGTTATTATTATAATGGAAAAGGTCACAGATCAAATATTTGTCCAACAAGGTGAGTCGCTGCTATTGCAGAAGAAATGGAAGGGTAAGAGGAAATAGAATCACATGTAGTTGAGAATGATGAATATGCAGAGGTTGAGTTTGTAGAGGAAGGGATGTGAGGGTAGATTTTTTGTTGCAGATAATTTGACTAACATCTAAAGATGAAGGCAACGCAAGAATTTGTTTAAAACACAATATTCTATAAAGAAAAAGGTGTGTAATCTGATTGTGGATAGTGGCGGCATGCAGAATCTGGTGTCACAAAAATATGTAGATCATTTAAATTTGTCTATATAACTCCATGATAAGCCATGAATCCTTGGTTGGGTAAGCAAGGACTCCTAAGTTCGAATAACATTAGCATGCAGAGTTCGTATCTCTATCGGAAAGCATTATAGAAAAGAGGTATTTTGTGTCATTCTGGATATGCTTGTCATATTTACTTGGTAGGCATTGGCAAGTTGATAGTGATATCGCTTATCGAGGACAAGATAACACGATGATGTTTACATGGGGCACATATAAAATCATTATGGCTCCTATTTTTCATTGTGATAAGAATTCCTGAGGAAAAAAGTATGGTTTCTTGGTGATGATGCAGAGTGAAAATGAGTTTGATGAGGCTATTAAAGAAACTAATTTTTTTTTATCCAGTGGTGATTAAAGGGATGATTAGTGGTGTAAATATGGAAACAATAATTCCAAAAGAAGTGTTATGGATCCTAGAGGATTTCAAGGAGATGACCGGAGATGACCTACCAAACGTAGGAAAGTTAAAGTTTTCAATGTGGGAGACAATATGATTGTGTTTATGCATAAGTAGAGGTTTCCAATTGGTACTTATAGAAAACCGTAATCACTCAAGTATGGCTTGTTCATAGTGACCTGAAAGATCAATGATAATGCTTTTATGGTATCTCTTCCGGATTCTATAAATATATCCAATACTTTTAATGTTGTTGATACTCATGAGTATCAAGAAGATGATGCTCTTTATCAAGATGAGAAATCGGTTTCAAGTTATTCATAGGTGCATGAGACATATTTAATAAGAATGGTTGCACGTATCGAAGAAGAAGTCGTGCGTCAGACATGTTCGACAAGAATTATGCAGATTTGGTGTCCAATATCAAAATAAATATTATTATACCTTTCTGGATAGGGAATCGACTCACAAGTATAACTCATTGCTTCATTGAAACATATGGGCCTTTTAGTTCATTTGAGGTTGTTTCATGCTTGAATACAATATTTTAATATTTTTTGAAATTTTCTATTTTATTTCTGTTTTGGATTAAAAACCCATTCAAGTTTCTTTTTCAGTTTTATTTTAGTTTTGGGTTAAAATCCAATTAGGGTTTATTTTATATATTTAAAAACCTTTGGTATGGTCGTCAAAGGTTATCTTTGATCATAATAAAATTTAAGTATTCTCTTTTTAGGTGGATTCCAAAACTTTATTTTGACAAATTTGTCGCTTGCAAACTTATGTTTTCGTTCTAGTTTTAGAGCTTATTAATCTGTAGTGTTTCCGACTGTGTCATAAATGAAGGTAAAGCATTAATTAGTAAATTCATCATTGGATTTCACACTATATAAAAAAGAACCATGTACGCTGGATATGGTGCTTTGTTCTTCAATTTCGATGAAAAGAGTGAATCACCAATAAAAACACAATAACATGTTGTCTATTTCTAGTCTCAATGAAGGGTGCCTAGTTTAAGTCACTAAAAAATTTGAGTTGAAGCTTAGATGAAGATGAAAATAATAATCTTTGAGAAGGGAATAATTTGGTATATCTAAATATTCGAGTTACGACTTGCATATGAGCTAGTAATGGAGAAGACATGAACTGGATCAACTGTTGCATAGAGTAGATCAGACCTGGTCTAGTGGTGGTTAAATAAAATAAGTGGTCATTGAGTCTTGTGAACTCGGTAGAATCATTGGGGGGATCACCAAAAGTTTCAAGTTTGAAGGATCTAACAATTGGAGTCATGACATGTCTTGTAACAAGGAGGTCAGTGTCATGTATAAATTCCAAGGCGTATTTTCTTTGACAAAAGGTAATTCTCATAATTGATCTTGCAACTTCTATGCCAAGAAAATAATTCTTAAATTGAGAAGGTGATTAACCTTAAAGCATTGTCAAATTTACATTTGATTAAATTTATCTCATCAATGTCATTACCTGGTAAAATTTATACATCCACGTACATGAGTAGAACTGTGAGTTTGTTATTGAATTTTTGGTGAACAATGAATGATTAGAGTTAGAAGGCTTGCAGTCGAAGGAAACGAGTAAGGTGGATAATTTTGAGAACCATTGATGGCTATCTTGATTGATACCATGTAAATAATTTTGAAGCTTGCATCCTTAGTTAGGAGAAGTATAAATGAATCTAGATGGAAACTTAATGTATACTTCCTCATCAATATGACCATGGAAGAAAATATTATTGATATCTGGTTGTAATATATGGAAATTTTGTGAATAAGCAATGACCAATAATAATATCATTATTGTCAATTTCTCTGTAGGAGAAATGGTGTCCTTATAATCAATTCCTTGAGTTTTATCGTAACCTTTTAGAAACCATGCATGTTTTGCATCTTTCAATAGAATTAGAAACATATCTCCTAATTTGGTAAATCTATTTACACCAAATAGCCCTTTTGTTAGGGGGAGTGGTAACCCTCCAACTGTGATTTACTTTTAATGATTGGAGTTAAGTAAACTAGTTTTGAAGCCAACATTCATGTTTGCATTGTTGTTTGTAGGTTTAAGGCTCATTTTGAGTGGTGACAAGGAAAATATAATGGTTATATGTTTGGTTCTATGTGTTCTGTAGGTCAAAGCTTTTATGAGATTTTTGATGATGAAAATTGAAAAAGGTATAGTTAATTATAAGAATCATCAAACAAGAATCTATCAAAAATCGAAGTTTATCAAATTCCAATGGTGAGAGAAAAATAAGACAAATCAATTTTAAAAATCAACATTGAAAGGAATTGAAGATGTGAAAGCTCGTATAATATTTCACTTAAGTGTTTTGGTCTTTCTGATCAATTATATGTAAAATAAGTAAGAGCAAGTTTTGAAGTACTAAATGATGCACACACGCACAAAAACTTATTTCTCTCTTCATCTATTTCTCTTTTCTTCTAAAAACCAATCCTGGAAATTGTTTAATCTATTAAGCAACAATTGAAACCAATTAGGAAAGCTAAATTTGTTATCTAATCGATAAAATATTTCTTCTAATCGATTAAGGATATAGTTCACCTCTTAATCAATTAGGATGTCAATAAATCGATTAAGGAGTGAACCTAAATTAGGGTTTCCTTTTCTGACTTAATCTAATCGATTAGTTTGCTATTTCTAATTGATTAGAGAGTGGTCAAGCCCATTGATTGTTACTTTTTTTAGCTGATTTTTTCCTATATAAAGAAGTGTTATGCTCACTTCTAAAGCATGAAGTTTCAAAACTATTTACTCTTCTATATCACTCATTATCATTCTAAGTTTTATTGTATTCACTAAAAATTATCTTAATGTTGAGAGAGTAAAACACTTATCTTGAAAGTTCTATATTTGCGTTGTTGTGTGTAACACCCTATTTCTCCATCAGTAAGTTATATAAAAATCAGAGTAAATTAATTCCTAAAATACAACATCAAAATAGGATGCCACATGCTTCATACATCATACATGATCATTAAATAAGATACACAACATAATTCATATGTTCAAAAGTCTTAAACTTCCTTTCATTTATTCACAGTGGAAAAACATCAATAAAAATCATCTCAATTCTCCAACCAGAGTCATAATTTTCATCTTTCAAAATTCAGCATAGTCATAGATTTACCTCAAACAATAGAGTAGTGCAAATTTCACTTTCAACGAAATAAAAGAAACACGAAACCCCTAAGTGTTACGTATCAGAGCAGACACCAACTTAATCTACGAAAAATTGAAGGAACCCTTCAGCTAACCTCGACCTCGAGCTACTTTGGCTCATGCACGTGACCCACGTAGAGGCAACACTCAAACAGAAAGGGTGAGATATCATAACAATATAAGAGGAAGCATAATAATGAGCAGATAAAAATTCTAGTACACATCATTTACATCTTTACCTCGTACCTTTTTTTCCGGTCATCATACTACGACGTACATTAATATAATTAAATACATGAACAACACCACTTTCGTCATGAAAAAATTAGAGATTCACTCAATGTAGAGACGGTCAATCATTAATAACCATGTAATGCAGTGAAACTGACACTAACTTAATGCATATGGTACCAACAGGGCAAAACCCTTATCTTAATAATGCCAACTTGGGCAACAACGCCAATACAGACCATCTTTCACCAATACAGACTATCTTTCGCCAATACATGACATCTTTAATGAATGCATGCGACACTGATATGCAAAAACACAATTTTA